TCCTATTACTTCCCTATTTAAAACTATAGAGTGACTTCTAATTACATCCAAAATCAAATCCAAGCTTATTTCTATGACCTACAAAACCCTACATGACCTGTGCCCTACAGATTTTCCTACCTTATCTCATACCCCAGTTTCCACTCATTGTGCTCCAGAGACATTAACTTTCTTCATGACATTTATTATACTGTGCTTATTCTTTCATTTCTGTACTTATTTTTCTCTATTACGAATATATGCCTGCTTGGAGTATTTGGCTCATTTCCCATTTTTTTCCCAGAACCTAAGACATAGATGTTTGTTCATTCACTGGATGAATGAACATATAAGGCAATCGATTTCACAGCAAAATGATCTTACCATGCAAAGAAAATCAGTGCCAGAAGATATCATTAAACATCAAAAGAATGACTGGGTTTCAATTCCCAAATTCTGTTTTATGGCATCCGCAGACAATGTAAACTGCTGGCAGTAATATAAAAAGGTTGAGAGAAAGAATGCCCCATTTGTAAGAATCTCACATACAATGTAAAACATTCACAAAAGGAAATGTACTACTTAAAGGTATTTATTGACTGGGTTTTCATTAATAATGAGCAACAATAACCAAATAAGCAGTGCAACTACACTACATAAAGATGTGCTTTCAAAACAGGTTTGGGAAATGGTTCTTGGCAACTGCTCAGTAGGCCACATGTTAATCATGATCATGATCATGAGGATAGTAAACTATATGCCACACACTATTTTTTTACTTCATTGTCTAACAGGAAACTGAGATATCAGAAGACTGAGTCTCACTCACTCATGGGTCATATAGTAGCAGAGTTGGAATTTAAATCAAGGCAGTCTAGCTTTATAGGCCTGCTTCTTAACAGTAATGGCCTAGTCCCTTTCTAGATAATCTATAAAGACCAAATTTATTATAAAAGAACCCAACAGCAAGGGGTAAACGTACTATTGCAAAGATTCAACATTTCTGGAATACTGATGACCTCTTTAACAATTACAGGTAGGCCAGCTGCGATAGATTACTCAATGGGCAGCTCTTGCTTAATTTAAATAAGGTTTATCTGACAAAGACAAGTATTTCTATTTTGATTTCCAAATCCTTCTATGGATCAAGTATAATAGTTTTAAATGATCTACCCAATATAAAAAATAAGTAAACAAAGCAGGACAAAGTAAAGAATTTAGGTATAAAACACATAATATCAGTTTAGCAAACTCTATACAAATTTCCCAGACAAAAAAAGGAGTTTGAGACAATATACTCTTTAAAAATTTATCTTCTAAAATATCTGTAAATTTTTGTTGAAGTAGATAATCAATTAACAAGTTATCACTTCAATTAATCCAGTTTGTTCCTCAGGTTTATCAGGATTTTCTAGAGTTCATTTCTAAGTTTTGTGCAATTAGTGGAACCAGAAAGCATTCCTAAAATATCAAAGAATTATTTCTCCTGAAGCAGCTATTTACCCAGAATGAAATAACTAGGGGAATTACCCAATAGAGGGTAATTAACAAAACAAAATATAAAAATATTAACATCTAGGGTAGAACAAAAATTTTTTGACTGGAACAAAGAAATTAATACAGCTTTTTCCTACTCACTAGCAACCAAATTCACTGAGTAGAAACATGTCTTACAGAGATCCTCTCTTTTTCCACTTGCCAGAAAGAAGACACCTTGATACCTGAGAGTAATGAAGCATGAACTCAGAATAACTGAAGACTAAAACAAATTTTCTTGCCTTACTCCATTTCACTGTAAATCTTGCCAACCACAGTGTTTCATCTTATGAGAATTTCCTAGACTAAACCAATAAAAAGAAAAAGAAAAAAAAAGTATGCTTGTTCACATAAGAGAGAACATTTTCCTGCAAACCAGGAAACATTATCAAATCATATCAAGGTGCCTGGACACAATCTTAGCAGAAAAGAAAAAACACTCAGACTGTTTCAGTTCAGGTTCTGGCACTACCTAAATTCTATGACCTCACGCAAGTCAATTACTATTTCTGGGCCCAAATTTTCTCCTCTGTTAAATACAATGATTCTGGCTGTATGTTCATAAAGATTTCTTCAAATTTCAAATACTGGCTTCAGTGGTATTCAGTGAAATAAGGTTTCTTACTCACTATTAGTAACTAGTTCTCACTTAGCATTAGTAAGGAGGAGCTTTGGTGGCACAGTGCCTAAGGCATTTGACTGCTAACCAGAAGGCTGCCAGTTCAAACCCACCAGCTGCTCCTCAGAAAGAAGCCTGGGAAACCTACTTCTGTAGCTAGACCACCTCAGAAACCTACGGAGGGGTCGCTATGATCTGACTCAACAGCAGTGAGGTTGTTTTTTTTTTTTTTAAATAGTATTCCATTCTTTCCCCTCCTACCTTCATATCCTGCCCATATGCAAAACACATTCACCCTACCACCAAACAAACCAAACCAAACCCACTGCCATCCCTTCCCCTCCTACCTCCTCCGTGGAAGGAAGACTGGGCAATCTATTTCCGTAAAGATTTACTGCCTCAGAAACACAAAGGGGGTCGCTATGAGTCAGAATCAACTCTATGACAGTAAGTTTGTTTTTTTGTTTGTTTGTATTGATAAGTAGGACTCCCTGGGTGGTACAAATGGTTAACTCACTCTGCTGCTAACCAAAAGGCGATAGTTGGAGTCCACCTAGAGGCATTTTAGAAGAAGGGGCTGCTTATCTACTTTCAATAAATCAGACACTGAAAACCCTACAGAGTACAATTCTACTGATAACACATGGGGTTGCCATGAATCAAAATCAACTCGAAGGCAAAACTTCAGCTTCCCGTACACTTGGAAATTCACAGTTGGCAATACATGACTAAGAAAGACTAAGATTTAAACTTCCAAATGCAAAACCATCTATACTCATTTTCTAGCCACCTACTTATTAACCAAGGTGACTAACTCAGTGGATCACAGTATCAAACTATTCTTGGCTAGCTTTTACTGTGTTATAAAGTAGGACAAAGATCGCCTCAAAAAAATGTGATGATATTTTCAGATAAATGAAGTAATATACCTTACATAAAATATTAAATTTTGAAGTGATATAAAATAACACTACTCTGTACTGTTTACCATTAGCTTTCAGAGTAAAATGACAGTATCTCCATAATTTCATTTATACAGTGTTTTCACATTCATTATTTCACTTGATTTAATCCTTGTGACAATCCTCTGATGTAAGATGAGTAGATACTGTTATCAACAGAACCCAGACCACCTCAGATTGTTAGGTTACCTGCCAACCATCACTCAATAAGCGATGGAGCCCAAACTTGAATTCAGATCTTCTGATACAAAGTTAAATAATCTTTGTTATCCTAAAAAGTAGTAATTCAACCCAAAGGCAGGAAGAAATTGGAAAAGTAAGATATTAGATAATAAGTCCCTGAACAACTGAGTTGAACAAAAAGAATATAAAATCAGATTTGGCAGTTACAAAATCAATAAGCAAATTGACTAGATATGAACCTTACAATGACATCTAACTTTCATAATTACATATTTCAAAAATCTTGCCAAGACAAGTGTAAAAAATTTGCTAACTCAAAAATAAGAACATTAAAGTAAATTAAACGATGAACTGATTAAATTAGCTATAGACAAACTGCTAAAAGGCAAAGCATTCCAGACAGCTGGTTACATGTGTATTTTCTTCTGAAATGTGAATCACAGGTATTAAGCTACATTAATCAACGGTATTCAAGTAGGATACATTCCTCAAAAGGAAAAAAAAAAAAAAACAAGCCTCAGTGCCTTAAAATAATGTATGCAAAGAATGTATGAAAGGTGTCTACTCTAGTCATTTCATACCTATTTTACATTTGTCCTTCTTCCAAAGGTCTAAATGCTAGGAATACACGACAACTAAAATCAGGTGCTAATGACAATACAATAGGTACTAGCACCCGGAATAGTCAATTTTCTACAATTACAAAACTAGAACAAAACTGAAAATACGTGTGTGTACAAGTTTCTCCAAATGACCAGTGCAATCTGCTTACAAAATCTAACAAGCCTCAAAGAATTGCAAGACATTAAAGTTAGAATTCCGACCTAAGACAGGTAAACAGTGCCAGAGTCTATATATTAGGAGATTCTTGCATGAAGTTGCAGAAAATCAAAAGATAATTCTGCAAAATCTAGAGGTCGTAAGTAACATAACCATGTGACTTAGGGCCACATACGACTTCTTGGAATTCTAGATTAAGTCGATCTTCATGTTTTTACTGCAAATACCTCTACTGCTTACCAGAAGGCTAGCGATACAAACCCACCAGCCACTCCTCGGAAGAATGGTTGGGCATTTCTTTCGTAGTGACACTGCCTCGGAAACCCAAGGAGGGGTCGCTATAAGTCGGGTCCGACTCGACGGCACATAACAACAACAACAACAAATGAAATAGAGGAGTCGGGTTCTTTTTCAAAGGTAGAGAACTATTCTTCATGAAATTCGTGGGAGATGCTATCCGAGAAGGCCCCTTGGCCACTTGGAACGGTACTTGCCCGCCTCAGTTTTGTTTAGGAGCAGAAGCAGTTAGCATCACGCGCTAGTCGGAGGGCAATAACCCAAACCCACAAATCTTCAGATACAGCTCGGTCATCAATAGGGAAGATCCCCATTTAGTCCTAGGTTTTGCACACCATGGGAAGGATGGGATGTGGATTCTAAACAGAAGCCTAAAACGGTTTTCCAGTTAAAGGAGAGAAGAATGAACGGTCAGGAGTCAGGTGTCTGCGTTCAACGTCTCGGTGGCCAACCACAGGGAGGTATCTCAGATAACCTGGCTACCCCAAAGCTGACAAATACAAAGTCAGCAGCTCCCGAAAATACCTCTGGAAGTCGAAATCACGGCTGCCCCAGATCTGCACCGTTTAAGTAAGAGTCCCAGAAGTCAACCTCTGAGGGCAGTTTCCGGCTTACTCCCCAATTCCCCGCGTTCGTTTACCTACCCGCTCAGACCCCAGCTTCTCCGGATCTCAGAACCCTGGAAGCGGCTCCTGACGGATTCTCACACCCGCCGCTGCGCTCCGTCCAACCGGAACTCATTGCGTCACCTCCGGTCCGGTCCTCTCTACTCTCACCCGCTACCCTGCCCCACGGGAGATCTCCAGAACAAAAACGTTCCATCCTTCTTTTGGCATCCTCGGCCAATCCTCGCGGGATTTCAGTCCGGCGCTCTGTTCGATCCCTGTCGGCGGGCGAGAGGAAAAAAAAATAACTATTCGCTTAGAGTTTCTTGCTCCGGAAGTGATTATACCCCGGAAGAGTAGCTTGCGCGAAGGAAGCGTGTTTGCTGCCCAGAAGTGAAGAAAGGCGCCAGTGAGAAGGAGCACTGTTCTAGGTAAATTGGCTTCTCAGAGGGCGAAAGGGAGGCATAACGTTCTCCATTCTCTTTCCAGTTGGAACGTTTCTTCTCGCCTCATTCCATATTGCCCCTCTCTGTCGTCTTTGGTAGTCTGCCCAGTGGTTGCTGGAGCTCTCTGACCCTGTTTTGTCAGCCCTTTTTGGAAAAGAGGACCAAGCTGCGGGGGGTTTGGGGGTGTCGCAGAATGTCTAAGTCTGTGGAAAAACCTCCATTTAGGCAGCATCGATGCGCTCTGTCCAAATAGGAGGAAATACCGGACAAACTTCACCCTCTGCTGAATATTTATTAATTATCCACAGCGTTTCAACGTATAGAGCCCTGCGAGGAATGGGAAATCTTAGAAAGTTTTGTAAGAACATAACTGACAAATTTAACCTCATGCATTACACAGACATATATTCTAGAAAGGCATTTAACCCAGTTAGCACTATGTCCCAATCACTGTATTAGCCACTAGGAATATAAGCTACAGTGGTTATGTATAAGTTTTACAACAGCTCCGGAGAGGAGATAGAGAAGTCTGACGAGGTGTGATGGCAGAGACTTCAAAGACAGGTTTCATGTTAACTGGACTTTACGGGTGAAGGGAATTTTGTTTGTTTGGAGTGGAACAGAAAATTAATTGCTAGGAGAGATTGCTGCTTGAAAGGACGTAGTAATTTGGTGTGGTTGGATGATACTGTATACAGCATAAAGGGAGATTTGAAGAATGAAGTAGATTGTAACCAAATAATGTGACACTTTGAATTCATTATATTTTATTCTGGAGGTGTTTAGTGATTTCTGAGCAGGGAAATTACATGATTGCATCTGTGTTTTAGAAATGTAACAGGATCAACTAGGGTGTGACTGAAGCAAATGTGGAAAGATCAGAGCTAGAGAAGTTAATTTTAGAGGCTTTTGGCAAGAAATAATTAGCGCACTGGTAGAGATAGGGCATAGGTTTAAAGCCAGAGATAGATTCAGCAGGATTTGGTGACTGAATGTGGTAGGACAGAGAAGGAAGAGTCCAGGGTTACTCAGAAATCGGGAAAGCGGAAAAAGGAATTTTGAAAAGGAAGGGAAGATCCTGAGTCCAGTCTAGAATCCTTCATAAGACCTCTAAGCCAAAGTTGGAAATTCACCTTTGGAGCCCAGGAGTTTTAGGAGTCATTGGATGATTTGGGAATAAATTGAGATTGTACAGTTGACAAACTATTGCCTGTCTACTTCCAGTAGAATATTAGCTCTGTTAGGAGTGGACCTTTGTTTTGTTCAGTACTCTCCAGAGTCCAGAACCTTGCTTGGATACATGTATATTGAGTGATTGAATGAAAAGTGCATATAGAACAGTGCTGTCCAATAGAACTTTCTGTGATGATGGAAATGTTCTGTGTCTTGCTGTCCAATATGGTTATCACTAGTCACTTCTGGCTATTGAGTACTGAAGTATGGTTAGTGCAGCTGAAGAGCTGAAGTTTTAAAATTTTATTTACTTTTAGTTAATTTAAATAGCCACATGTGGCTAGTGGCTACTGTATTTAACAGACTGAAAAGATGCCAAATGTGTAAACTTGGATAATATGTATACACCCGTTCCTTACTTATCAACATGGCTAGTCCCAAAGAACGGGTTGTTACGTGAAAAATCAATGTTAAGTGACATTGGAGGGGGACCACATCATTACATAACTGACAAACCACTGAGAATCATAACCTTAACCATCACATCCAGCATTACTCTGGCTTTACCCTTTAGCATTCCTTACTGCCAGAGGTACATGATTAATGCACAACATAGACAGATTTTTTACTATTATAAATGTCATGTAACAACCTAGTTGATAGGTGAGAAGTAGGTATAGAGGGGCAAACAGAAGTCTTCGAGCCAGAGGAGACTGAGAAGCCTTCAGAGAGGTGGGTTGAGAATCTGTTAAGAGCTTAGTTGAAGAAGCCAAGTAAAGGAAGTTTAAAGGAGTGATCACTATTAGTGAGTGATGCAGAGAACTCAAGATGAGGGCTTAAAGATGCAACTACATTTGGCAACTAGAAGTGTCTGGTTCCTTAGAGAGCAGTTTCAACAGAGTGTGGGAAAGGGAAGCATCTTGGCAAAGTGATAAGATGAAAAATTAGAGGTAGGTAATTGAACAAGCTTCAAACCCACCAGCCACTCCTCGGAAGGAAGATGGAGCAATCTATTTCCCTAGTGATACTGCCTCAGAAACCCAAGGAGGGGTCGCTGTGAGTCGGGTCCGACTCGACGGCATGTAACAACAACAATTGAACAAGCCAGGAGATGAAGGGAAGAGAAAAAATGAGGCAGTGGATTAATGGGCAAAGCTGATTTGGGAAAGATATTTCTAGGTTGGAAAAGACCCTGGGCAGTAGCCATTGGAATGGGATTAATAAATGGAGGAGCATTGTTCAGGAGGTAACAAGATCAAAAGCACTGGTGAAAGGGATTTAGTCGGTCAAGGAAATTAGAAAGCACCAAGAAATGGGTTTTAAAGACATGTTTGTTTTGCCATGCTGTCATTGATTGCCCTGGATTATCTCTGAGACTAAGAATGGTTATTTTACTTTTATCTTAGTCTCAAGCACTAGGGGCTCTGGTGGCATAGTGCCTGAGGCCTTTGACTGCTAACCAGAAGGTTGGCGGTTCAAACTCACCAGCCGCTCTGCAGAAAAAAAATATGGGGCAATCTACTTTGGTGAAGATTTACTGCCTTGGAAACCCAGTGGGGGTCGCTGTGACTCGGAATCTACACCGTGGCAATGAGTTTTTTTTGTTGTTGTTGTTTAATATTAAGTGCAGGGCTTATTAATATGTTTATAGGAGTCATTGCAAACAACAACAAAAGGTGAAACACCTTTTAGAAGAGTTAGAGGACAGTTTGATCACTTGGATGTAAAATTAAAAAATCCTAAAGAATAAAGACGTGAATGTTAATCTTAACATTTTAAAATTAGAGACCTCATTGAGATATGGGCCATAAGTGATAATCAAATGCACCAGTCTCTACTCGCTGTTTGAGCTAACTCTCCGTCCTTCCCAATTGGTGTTCTTTCAGCCTTATCTTTCTTCCTTCTGTCACAATTGCACAATTTGATCCATAACACCATCTCCTTTCGTTGTGCCTGTATTCAGGCTGTTAAGTCCTGCTGGAGAAATTGACCTTATCTCAGTATGGTACCACTCTATAATCATCATTATTTATCTAAACTTCAGCATGCCTCTGTAATCATACCATGTTTTATCACAACTTTTCAGCCTTCCTCTTCTCTCTTCCAACTTAACTTCTTTAGTTCTGTATATCCTCTTTGAGGACCAGCTTCTTGCTTTCAGATCCACAGACCTATCTACATCTAAAAGTCCTTCTGTCACTCTGAGAAAGGTGCCCCTTCTCCCTTCCAAGACCAAATTCCCTCTTAAGGGTTTTAGATCCCTTTCTCTTACTGTTCTGCATTGTTAATTATCCTTTACTTGAGCATCTACCTACCTTTCCTCTGGCTCCATTCCATGGACATTTAATTATACCCAACATTTAAATATATTCACTTGTCCATCTTAAAAAATCCTAATCTCCAACCAAAAACCAAACTTGTTGCCGTAGGATCGATTCCCACTCACAGTGACCCTGTAAAACAGTAGAATAGCCCCGTAGTTTCCAAAATTGTAATCTTTATGGAAGCTGACAGCCACATCTTATTCTCCCAGAGCAGCTGGTGGGTTTGAACCACTGACCTTTGGGTTAGCAGTCGAAGCACTTTAACCACTGTTCCATCTAATCTCCATACCTCCCTAAAATACATTGTTTTTTTTCCCCCCTGCTCCCTTTATCTCAAACTGGCTTCTGTCCTGCCAAAGATGATAATCCTTTTTTTTTTTCTTTTTGCTAAACCCAGTGGACAAAGGTGTATTGGACAGATTGTTCTTGACCATCCTTTTGAAAATACATTCCTCACCATATTCTTTTTTTTTTTTTTTTCCCTTTTCTGCCTGTAGATGCTGAACATTTAAGAACAAAACAGTGATACACCTCTAGCTCTAGAAAAGATTGGAACTTTGAGAAGGGCAAGTGTGAAATATTATAAAATGCAGAGAGTTTTTAGTAGGTGTTTTAGGAAATGGCTGAAAGGTAAAGGATTCTGTTGGACTCCAGGGAAATGAAGAAACTAAGCTTTATAACATTAAATACCAGTTTCAGGGAAATTAATTTTGTCCTGGCCATCGCCAGGTTTGAGTTTGAAATTGCCAAGTGTAGGGAAGAATCGGGTTGTTTTACTTTCTGATTAACTGTGCCTCTGATTTATATCCAACCTCTAAACACAGGATACAAGTATAGCACTATAATATATTGAAATTATAATTTGGAGACATTGTAAATTGTATTTATAGACTTTTATTTTTCATTAGAGATTAAGTGTAATCCATTGTTTTCTACCAATTAACCAGTTGCTGTTGAGTCATTTGCAACTCATGGCGACCCCTTGTGTGTCAGGATAGAATTGTGCTCTGTAGGGTTTTCAGTGGCCAATTTTTCAGAAGTAATCTCCAGGCTTTTCTTCTGAGGCGTCTCTGGATGGACTTGAACTTCCAATCTTTCTGCTGGGTTAGCAGCAGCACTCTAACCCACCCAAGGAAGCCTCTTTAACAGTTACAGAAGGCCTACTTGCCAGTCTTACTGCATTTAAAGCTCTTGACTTCCCAACTCTGCTTTGAGATCTAGAGACAGCCATGATTCATATGCATATCTATTTGCAAAGACTTTCTTTTTTCTGCTGTGTTAGAGATCCAGCTATAATACACTAGAGTTCTTAGCCCTATCAGACCCAACACATACGTTAAATAACAAATCATTTGTAAAAAATATAAAATGTTGCACCTGTTTTTGTAATCAGTCTGGCAGTTCCTCAAATAATTAAACCTAGAGTTTTCATATGATCCAGCAAATACACAAAGTATATGCACAAGAAAGATGAAAACATATATCCACACAAAATCTTGCACATAAATGTTTATAGCAGCATTGTTAATAATAGCCAGAATAGTAGAAACAACTCAAATGTCCATCAGCTGATGAGTGGATAAACAAAATGTCGATATCCATATACTGGAATGTTGTTAGGCTGCAGAGTGAAATACTGACACTTGTCATAACATGGATGATGAACCTTCGAACCATTAAGCTAAGTGAAAGAAGCCAGGTACAAAGGTTGTATGATTTAATCTAGAATCATATAGTGGTGATGGTTGCACAACCTGGTAAAAATACTAAAAGCAACTGAATTGTACAGGTTAAAAGGATGAATTTTATGGTATATAGATTAGATCTCAATTAAAAGTTTGTAACCTCCCTTATATTATCCTGAAATGAAAATGTTTGCCAATACCAATATATTTGGCAGTATAATTTACCTACTATATAGTTTCAAAATAATGTCCTAATTTTAGCATAGAATAAAATGAAAATAATTTATGCCAAAGTATGTATTTCTAGGGCGATCATATTTGCCTATGCAGATTATGCCCTGTGCCATTCCAAGGGTGCCACTTACATGACCTATAAATGTGGTAGCCCCAAGTATCTGAGTAAGTAAATGTTTGGGCACTATTCAACTAGAAGACTTGGTGAAACTGTCATCAGTTGCTTGTATTTGTCTGTACATAGAACACTGTGAATCCAACTGCCTCAAATGTAGACTGGGATATTGTTGGTGACTCATATGTACAGCTTTACTGGCATACTATAGGCTTTTTCTAAAAACAGGTATTCCGACTTATGACAGGGTTCCATTCAGATGGCTTTGTCGTCAGTTTTGATATATGTCAAATACCTCTTCCCCCCCATTATTTCATTATTACTGCCTTTTATTATCAATATTTTTATAAATCTGATCTTTGTCTTTGGAGGTTGACATGAGAGTGATAACATCAGCAAATTACACTGCAACATTGTATGTAGTACATACTATTAATATGCAACATCCCCGCCCCCCCCCCAAAAAAAAAGTGGTCATAAGTGCAATTCATCAGAACTTAAATAAATCATAAATTGGGGACTTCCTGTAATGAAAGATAAAGTATGATCTTCCTTGCTGTACATGGTAGTTATATGTCTGGAAAATTCAACATATATTAAAACTACACAAAAAATAATTTGTGTTCATATGTAAATGGAGTAGGGAATCTACTCTCAAGTATTAATAGTTTTTCACCTGCAATACTGCCTGATGGACCAACTCTTAATTGTGCAAAACTTAGCATCCCTTGCCCAGTAAATGCCAGTAGCACACCCCGCCTCAGTCCAATTATGATGACAACCGGAAACTTATCTTGAGAGGTTGGTACCATAGCCATTGAGAACCACTGCCTTGTGAGCACACAGTGATGTAAGGATTGCAGACAGGGGTTGAGTTACTTTGAGTTACTTTTGATCCTTTACGTCCTTTAAGCATCTTGGTAAAACAGAACATTTCTCCACAGACTTAGAGAAGACTGAGAAATCCAAGAACTGTGGAATCTAGGAATTTTCTCACATTAAAATACAAAATAATCTAGAGTGCTTCACCAATAGGCTTGAATATTTTGTAGTACACAGGGGAAAAACAGGGTATATGTACCCAAGATCCAAGCTATGTTTTGATTATTTTCTGGGTAACCTCATATAGTTTAAAAGGGATGCTTCTTGGTTATATACCGTCAAAGTTTATCTGACAAGCCTATAATATTTCACATCTAGATAACTTTATTCTTTTCTTTAAGATGCTTTCCAAATCCTTGGTTATGGATTACTTGGCTCATCCTGGCACACTCAGCTTGGCTGTAGGAGTTGCCTGTGGCATGTGCCTGGGCTGGGGCCTCCGTGTACGCTTTGGAATGATCCCCAGAAGCTCAGTGAGTGACACAGACAGACACACCGAGACTGAAGCCAGCATCTTAGGAGAGAGTGGCGAATACAAAATGATTCTTGTGGTTCGAAATGACTTAAAGATGGGAAAAGGGAAAGTGGCTGCCCAGTGCTCTCATGCTGCTGTTTCTGCGTACAAGCAAATTCAAAGAAGAAACCCTGAATTGCTGAAAGAGTGGGAATACTGTGGTCAGCCCAAAGTGGTAGTCAAAGCCCCTGATGAAGAAACCCTGGTTGAATTGCTGACCCATGCTAAAATGCTGGGACTGACTGTAAGTTTAATCCAAGATGCTGGACGTACTCAGATTGAACCAGGCTCTCGCACTGTCCTAGGAATTGGGCCAGGACCAGCAGACCTAATCGATAAAGTCACTGGTCACCTCAAACTTTACTAAGTGGAATTTTGTATGATGATGACCCCTTCACCACAAGTCATGTTCTGACAATTTATGCCTGTGTTCTTGCCCAAAATTCAATTTAACTGAAATGAAAATAAAATCATTACGACGTTCTTCTGTCATGTACTTGCACAATTATCATGTTGGACTAAATATATTTTTTATATATATATAGTTGATTAAATGGTCTTGATAGTTTGAGTGCTAGGTACTGAAGTAAAAAATATTTACAAGAACAGATCATGATGAATCTAGGTTAAAAGTGAGAAAACAGCCTTTATTTAGGCTATTGTTGGAAACTTTTGTGCTGGTAGCTCTTCTTCCCTAAGACTAGTACTGTCGCCCTTGGAGGATGAGGGGTTCATGAGTATTCCCACTGGATTCAAACTACAAAGTTTGTTTCCCTCCTGTCACTCTGGACGACAGTAGCCTCCTTTATTATAATAATAGTTCATGATATATCAAAAAGCAAACCCACTGCCATCGAGTCAATTCCAACTAATAATGACCCTATAGGACAGAGTAGAACTGCCCCATAGGGTTTCCAAGGCTGTAAATCTTTATGGAAGCAGACTGCCTCATCTTTCTCCTGCAGAGCAGCCGATGGGTGCAAACTGTGGACCTTTTGGTTAGCAAATGAATGCTTTTATCACTGTGCCACAAGAGCTCCTTAGATCATGGAATGTTGTTACGTGCCGTGGAGTTGGATCCGACTCATAGTGACTCCTCCTTGCGTTTCCGAGGCAGTATCACTACGGAAGTAGATTGCCCAACCTTCCTTCTGAGGAGTGGCTGGTGGGTTTGAACCGCCAGCCTTCTGGTTAGCAGTCAAGT